CCAAAAAAACCCCCAAGGGAGAAAAGAAAAGATTCACTTTTTTTTAAAACAAGCCCCCTTTGTGGCTTTTTACCTTCCCCAAAATGAGTAGTTTCTTTTTTTTTTTTTTGTTTCCCCCTTGGCAAAAGGAAAGGGGGGGAGGGGGGGGTTTTTTAAAAAACCCCACAAACAAAATGGACTTAAAAACCACAAAAGGGTAAAGTTAAAGTTTTTGCTTCAATAATCATAAAAAATAATATGCCCGTAATTGTAAAAAGGTTTCCGAGGAAACACAAAATTGTAAAGAAAAAACAGTGAGAACTAGCTAATAGCTTATGACAGGAATTTTTGCTAAAATAAACAATTGGACGGATGGGTGAATTCATGCAACACTAACAGAGAATTTTTCCTCACTAGTGACATTGCTTTAGATTCCCACACGTTAAATATTGGAAAGCCAAATTGCCAAGACATGATAATTAGTAATCAGATTACGTTAAAAAACCAAAGATAAAACTTTTTTGTTTCCTTATTTTTATTTTTTGGAAGTTGAACATATACCATGAAGAAGGGCTTGCATCCCAGCTGCACGAAGTTCGTTGCTCCCCCCTCCCCTACTTCTTCGAGCTAGTCGACAGAGTTTTGGAATATACCCTTCTACATAAAAATGCAAGTCCCATCTGTCGGCAAAATACAGTAGATACGTAAGTCCAAAGTTTCTGTAAGGCTCAAAATCTACAAGACAAAAACATTTCAAAATTATGCTGAATCTCTAATTGAAGGATAAAAGAAATAACAAAACCAAAGTATAGATACTCAATAGCACCAACCAGATTATTAACAAGTCAAAAAGTGTCCTGGCATCCCATAAATTCGCATATCATCCTGTGAGTTTGAATCCAGCAAATGTGACTGATCTTTAAACTACTGATGCAAAGAGAGCCTGTCATAAGTCCAGATTATAAAGCAGATACATAAGTATATCCACAGAAGAGGCATAGAAGTATACACAAATCATGATATCCATAGTCATAGCCCTGTTGGTGTCGTAACAACTGCCTAAACATAATTAGACATGTCATGCAGGCTTGAAAGCGGAGTTAGGACACACGTATTACAAATAATGTAAGACTGAACCTTTGCCTTTTTATACGTAGATAGAGGTAAAAGAAACTGGTGACAATCCTGGCCTTCAAAAACATCATAATTCCATATCAGATACAAACAATTGCCACTCTTCCCGTGGACATAACTTTAGCATTGCTATACTATATAGATATAATATAATACTCATTGATGAAATTATGAACAGCAAGAAACAATGTCTGTTTCCTCTGCAGGCTACTAACTTTCCCTTTTTGTTTTGCCTGTTCTTTTGTTTTCTTTACTTATTTCATTTGTAGTAAAAATATTTGTGTCTGCAACTGTTCCAGCACAATGATGCATATTCTGCCACTAAAGCTGAAGGAGAGGCGCTGGTCATCAAGTCAAATGGTAGTAATGGGCTTCTAACATGCTGCATCTGTCCTAGCAGCATTTTCTGTCCTGGTGATAAATTGCTTGTTCCATCATTGGTATCTGCTGCGAGGGCAGGGAAATCGAAGGTAACCAAGTTTTTTGTCCATTTAATTTCTCATGTTGTGACTGCCTTACATATTGGTTTTATAATGTTCTAGAAATTCATGTTTCATTCAATATCAAGTTGGTGGATAGGTAGGTTCTTAATCATTTGAAGCCATATAATTAATAAATGACATAATGTACCTGTTCTTTCACGTAGGGCATGAAAAATTGAGTATTTGTGCTGCATACATTCTCTCTTTCTGTAAAACACTAAACCAGTTACTAACTGAAAACATTTGTATTTCATATGTTTTTGTGATCTTACTTTTCAATTTTTATTGGTATTGTCCTTTGTACACTCTTGAATTCTAACATTTATTTTGCCAGTAGTTTGGTAGTCGTACCACCTCCAAAGGAGAGGTGCATAATTATGTGTGCACAGATATCTAACTTACAAAGAAAAAAAAGGAAAGAAAAGAAAAGAATTTAACATTCGTTTTCTTTGTTTTTATTTAAAATGAGCAGTTTCTCATTGGTAATGGCAAGAACATGTACGATTTCACTTATGTTGAAAACGTGGCACATGCCCACATATGTGCTGAACGAGCTCTTGCATCGTAGGCGACAGTTGCAGAGAGAACTGCAGGGGAGGTCATATTTAAATTCATTTTTTAAGTTCTGCAACAATTATTTAGTTACTGAACCGAATTTTAGCTGTGCCAATGTCAATCCCCAAAACCCCCCAAGTTATGTTTTCAAACAAGATTTCGAAGTTACAGTCGCATTTTGAAAACACGACTTCGTAAAATAGAACATAGATTTGAAATATAAGTTTTAAACTGCTTGGATTTGAAAATTTTCTCTTAAAAATGTTAGGTAAAAAACACTAAGGAGCATAGTTTATCTTGAAATCTTAGAGCAGCCATGAACTTTGAAAGTTTTCATCAAACTTGGACTTGAAAACTAACATTAGTGCCCCATGGCTTATCTCATAAGCACGCTTCTAAGTGAGAACGTCTATCCTAACAATGCTTGCTCACAAAACTAATTTAATCACAATCAATCAATCCAATCATGCTAAAACTAATTTAAAATCCTACAACTCAGTTATAGATAGTGAGAAAACACGCATCGATTAGTTTGAAATGAAGGCATTGAGGTCGTTGTCTAACCTTAAATCAATGAAATAACTGTCAACATTAAGTCTCTTAGAAGTCCTTATACGCTAGCTGAGTTAGGTTTGGGCTTGACCTGTAATGACAGAAACGAGAGTTAAAAAAATATTAGATCTAGAATTTTTTCATGATGAAGAAAACATAGAACTCCATAGTCACCTCTTGAACGCTTGAAATTCCTCCGAAGAAACAGACTAGTAGCTAAAGAACGATGAGCAGGTAAAACACAAGCTGAACTTGCAGCGATCATGGTAAAAAAAAAATAAAAAATAAATAAAAAAAATCCCTAGTACAATACAATACAATACAAACAACAATAACACAACTCAAAATTCGAAATTCAACGAACGAATATTCCGCCAAAATTCAGAGGCGGTCACCGAATAACCGCGGTCTCATACATGCATCAATGTCCCCTGTAAACACACCTCCTCAAGATCAACCAACACAAATCTCAAAAGAGACCCCTCAATTTCAAAATCCGCATAGTTTGATCACAAAAAAACAAAAAAATTACCATTAAAACTCACCTATGTATGTCTGGGCTTCGCCGGAAACCCCTGCTCCTGAATCTCTGCAGAAATGAGAGAGAAGGAAGAAATGAAGTCAGAAGGAAACGCAAACTTCTATGGGCGGAAATGAAAGAAAAGCTTACACAGCGATATAGCTAATGAAAGATTCAGCAGTGTTAGTTAACTCTCATCAAAGACCTCGTGCAAAACGAGTGAGAAAGAAAAATCCACGAAACATCAGTCAACAAACCCTCAGCTATTATTCCATCTTCTATTGATCTATAACACACTCAAAAATCCCCAAATTTGTCAAATTAAAATCAACAGTGACTCAATGCTCAACACAAAAACACACACATATATATATATATATATATATACACATTTCGAGAGTAGAGATTTGAAGCAAAATTGCAAACCAAAGAAATATGAGATTGTCGGAGTCGAAGAGTTCAAGATCTTGAGGAAGTTGAGGACGTCTACTTCGATTCTTGCTCGGACCTCAACAGAATAAATTCAATTTCAAACATTGATATTCACAACATATACATAATATATAGAGGTACATATACATGTGTAGTAGAGGTGCTAATTTGAGAAGATCAAAGGAGAGAGAGCACGAGATTGAGAGAAAGAGAGAAAGCGAGATTGAGGAAGAGAGAGAGAGAGAGGAGAGAGATTCATACCAGTCGCATTCCTGTGAGACCGATAGAGAGCGAGAGAAAGAGAACAATCGGTGTTTATGGAGGGCTTAGGGCAAGTATAAAGAAAAAGGGAAAATAAATAGAAGAAAATAAGGGGGTAAATTGATTATTTGCGACGGCTAACCAGATGGTCGCAAATTATATAGTAGTAAAAAGCCAGTTTTCTAGTAGTGTCCAGTCATCCCACTGTTTGAAATTGTAGTAAAAGTTGAATTTGGGTGGAAGTTTTGAGGATGAAAAGTGTAATTTATCATTAAAAAAAAATCAACGCCCTTAAAAATGGGTTCATGTCACTTTCCATCCAAATGTTTAATGATAATTGATAGAAGGACCAAATAGAAAAACATTTAAAGTTGATAACATTAGGTATCAAAGTCAAATTTAGAAGTAAGGTTAAGGGTGAAAAGTGTAATTTCTTCGAGAAAAAAAATAATTACAAGATGCACAAAAGTATGCAACTAATTCCAGCTGTAGCTTACAAGAAATTCCACCCCCGGCAAGCTCACGAAAAAAAATTTGACAAAGGTCACTGGAGTATGGTTATTAAAGTTCTCAACTCCACTATTGTTAATTGACCATCACATTTTACGTAAGTAGAGAGAAATATTTGGAATGACAAACATATAAATATACTTACCACGGCCTTGAGCAAACGATGCCCCTGATCCACCATAGTTATTGTAACCACCCAAGTCTTGTTGCATATCCCCACCACCATAGCCTCTTCCACATCCACGAAAATTGCCATCTTCCCCTAACTCGGCCTCTTCCACCATATCCACGTCCACCATCCCATCCACCATCTCCATTGTATTCTACCACTCCATTGTTACTACTCCCTATAGAAGATAGATTGTAGCTATTAGACTTCATAAGGAGTTAGGATAGAGGGCAAGAACAATGCACTATAATCCATAAAGCAAAACTATAGCCAACGACAAATAGTTTTGTAGCTATTACATTTCGTAAGGTGTCAGAATAGAGGGGCAAAACTAAAGCAATATAATCCACAAAGTAGCACTATGACCACCGACAAAGGGTGCTGAAAATTAATATGTTGACCGCTAACAGAAATGCCTCCTAACCAAACATTATCCAATTTTTTAAATATTTCATCAGCTATCATAACTTGAAACCCAATTCTTGTACCCATTGTGATCTCACATTCTAGCGTGAACTGTTGCAAGTCTTCAGCAATCAGTGGCGGAGCCAATTAAGGCCTAGAAGGGGCAAGTGCCCCTCCTCAACTTTTAAGAACTTTCATTTTCACCAAATGTTTTGAAAATATCTTTCAATTTTCCACCTCAAATTATATATTCCCCTATATTTGTTTAATATATAACCCATCTTTTTTAATCTTTTTTTAAAAAAAAAATACTACAATTTATCCATTCAATTTTTTATTATTAGAGTTGAACTTCTAAGAGTTTTATTTCAAGAAACCATGTCCTTGATTGGGTCATGAAAATAGGAAGAATGTTGGTACAAATACTTTTATAGGTGTTCTCATATTCTTTCTATGCCAAGGTTTGAAAACTAAAAGATATTTTCGTTTCTTTTCTTTATATGTTATTTTTTTTCATTCTTTACTACTAAAATTTGTTTCATTTTTATGATATTATACAGCAAACCAGTGTTTTCCTACCCACAATATAAACATCATCTAACCAACCAGCCCATCAGGCTACCATATGGAACCACATCCAATGTGGTGCTATACAGGGAACCTATTTGAAGTATCACCAAGAGCAGGTTCTATCTGTTGAGCAATATATTCTTGATCGAAATTTGAATCTAATTCCCCCAGAGGATGCTCTAGGGACCAAACTGGAAGAAAGAAGAGGACAAATCTATGTGAAATAGTTTGAACACCTAAATCCATCGATTAGTGCTCTATACTTTCTTTTGTTTCTCACTACAGGAAATATGGGTTTAGGTGGCATTTTTTTAATGGCGTTTTTTAATAGGAGGCGTTTATTTACTCCTAAATCCATCGTTTTTTTGAAAAGGAGGCGTTTATTTACGCCTTCAAATGCGTGTTGTCCCACGCGCTTCCTTTTCCAATCTGAGAATCTCAACTCCCAAATTAAACCGATGCACTCGCAAATAATCTCTCTCCCTCTCCGCTATCTAAACCAGATTCAGTTGCTTATCAATGGAATCCTCAGAAATCGAAGTTCTCTCTCGAAATCAAAGTGATTCAACAGAGCGATTTCGAAGTTCATCTCAGTGATTCAGATCTCGAAATCGAAGTTCATATCTCGAAATTTTAAAATTCTGAGTTCATATCACTTCGATTTCATATTGCGATTCAAATCTGTGTTCATATCACTTGGATTTCGATTTAGATCTGAGTTCATATCACTTCGATTTTGATTCAGATCGTGATTCAGATCTCAATGATTCAGATCGGTCTCAGTGATTCATATCTCGAAATCAAAATCGAAGTTCGATTCAGATCGTGATTCAGATATCAGCGATTCAGATCGGTCTTAGTGATTCATATCTTGAAATCGAAATTGAGATGATGATGAGGAGATCAGTCTCCGGGTAATGCAGTTTGCTAACATTATTAGTGGAGATGATGATGGTGAAGACAGTATCAACCAGTTGTTCCTTCATGTGGATATCTCAAAGCCTGGACAGAAGGAGTCTCTGCATTTTCTGTGCGGGTTGTACCCTGATGCATTGGGGATTCACTCTGTTTCAATGAGGCCCAAGCTTGAAACTTCTGGGTTTCTTGTAGTTCCGACCAAATACAATGGCCCTGTTTTCCAGTAAGTCTAGTACTGCATTTATGAGGGTTTGATTTTTCTTTGTTGATTGATCAACTATGAGCTAGTAGCTTTGCGATAGAAACAATGTTGTAGTTATTTTTTGTTTATATCCAACATATTCTAAACATGTTCATAGATGCATAGCATCTCTACCGGACTTCTCACTCACGTTCCGCAAGTGCGCTTCCTCCACTCCGTGATGATTGGCTTCCACAAAATTCTCTGTACCAAGGGAATCGTTCTTGCCGTCGCAAGACCATTCTGATGTCCCGCCCCTATCCAAAACCCCGAACCGGTCTCTCCTCATACGACGCGATTCCTGCATTCTACCTCTAAGTCGGTCCCAATCTCTAACACATTTGAGACGATCCGCTCTAGACTTCCGAAGCATACTAACTGAAAGACTGTTATGAACCCGGACAACTGCGCGGATGGCAAAAGCCCCCAAACGATTAGCACCTCCCCCATCCTCTCCAAGGATCTCAAAGGGACCGATAAACCGAGGGGATAACTTCCACCTCTTCCCAAACCTCCGAATCAAACCACCTTAGCGTGATATTTCAGAAGGACATGATCACCTATCTCAAACGCCAAGGCCTCCTCCTTACGTGCGGGCATGAAACTCTTTTGGCGACTCTGGGCTGTACAAGCCTCCTACGGATAAAAGACTTAACATTTCTTCCGTCATCTCCCTAACCAACTCCGGACCCAACAAAAGGTGCATCACGCCACTCGGTCCCAACAAATTTGGAGACGCTGACACGCTCAGCCAAAAGGCCTCAGAACGACAGGTAGCGATCCGAGCTGCACTGAAAGCTGATCTGTTGTAGGACAAATCCAGCCAAGCGAGGCAAGCGTGCCTCTTCCCCTCGTCCTCCCTGACTTAAAGTCAAACGCGCATTTTCAATGGAACAATAAACCTTCGAAGCATATTGTTTCACAGGATGCTGAATAGTACGCCTCGAGACTGACCCCGTCAGTCACTGAGGATGATAGCACCGTACAAAAGGTCAATAACTGTAGTAGCCCAAGGCCACTCCTGCAAACTCGAGATCGTGCCACAACCTGAGCAGTTTAAACAGGACGGGGATCTCTTATTTGAGAACGATCTGTGCACATGGGAACCCCGTGGCAAGCTCTGCACTATGTTTCCCCGAATGCGTTCACGAGTCGCACAAGGATGACTACGTGAAATCTCTCACGCGCTAATGGAGTAAGTGCCCGACGTTAGCTCACGCGGGTTCACAACCTACCCAGAATAGCATCAGCTACCCGTGCTAGTCCTCGTGAAGACCTACAACAACAGTTCCTAGCTTGGCATGCTCCCACTTTCCATTGGCAATAGGCAAGTGGTCGTGCCAACAAATCCCGTGGCCTCTGATGCTCGCCTTCACTTGGATTGACAAGTAAGTAAGCACTTCGACAGCAAAGAGCAGCGTTAGCATCTCTCTTCAACCCCGCACCCAGAAACTGGCGACCAATCACGATACATGCTAGTGCTCGCCTGGATGCCACCGCGAAGCGCGGGATGAGTAGACATGATGAAAACTTCGGAGTACTCTCTCGCAAGACTACGCCATTTGGTCAGTCTTGATCGAAGCACCTAAAAAGAATTTAGTATTGACACTATACTTTGTAGTTATTCTGAATGATGTTGTCTAAATTTGGATTCCACTGATAGTTATCGATCTA